TTGCAATAAATTCCTCGATGTCAAAGAGAGAGCATTAATAGAATTAATAAAAGTAACAGTTTGTCCACACTTCAAGTCAACTGATGAGTGAACTGATGGTCTGTCTGGAGTCGGGATGCTGAAGGTAACATCAAGGTGACAAACTTTTACTTATATATATATATATATAGGTAACTACAATCGTCTCGGAAAACCTTCGGTTTCTTGATTTGCGAATGATCAAATCAATTTCGAAGCAAAAAAAGATTTTAAAAAAAGAAAGAGCTAGGAACATGAACGTCTGACGAAAATAATCGTACAGCATACAGGTCCAAAGCCCAACGAAAAAAAAACCCCGATACGAGTAATCAACTAACTAAAAAATGCTCAATACAAAAGTAGAGCAGACCTTGTCAAACCTAGAGAGCCAGAAAAAAACTGCAAGGTTTCACCTTAGCGGATCGTCAGGGAAAGCCAGCTTTCCCTGACGATCCGCTTAGGTGAAACCTTGGTAGGTTTGTTTGGCTCTTTAGGTTTGACTATATATATATATATATATATATATATAGTCACATTAGAACATGTAACTTATTACTACAAAACTGTACATTTTGTTTCGACGTTTAATAAACAACGTCTCATCAGGTTTATTACCATCATTGTTAACTACCTGATTAGACGTTGTTTATTAAACGTCTAAAACAAAATGTACAATTTTGTAGTAGTGTCTTACATGTTCTAATATAACAGTGTATAATAAATATTTATAGCTCTACTCTTGTATTGAGCCCTGTTTTAAAATTATGTATTGAACGTTGGAAGTTTATTCTTTATTCTTTTACATTTGGATAACCACAAAGTTGCTGTTCCTCGGATGTTTTTGGAATTCCAATTCTATTCTAGAATGGTTCTTAATGGAAATTTCTAGATTTCTAGAAGACTAAGCGTTTCGTATCTTAGTAAGTTGGGATAGGTTGCTTTCTGGTTCTTATTTGGTCTTTGAATCTATTTTTTATTTTTGTGGCTTTCGTGCTTTTTATTTTGCTGTTTTCAACATTTCAGTAAATTATATATATATATATATATATATATATATATATAATGATAAGTCATAGTTTTAAGGTATGATATGTTTATGGGTTAAAGTGCTCAATATAAGAGAGAGACTCTGTATGTAAATATAACAGTGGACATTGCAGTCAACGCAATCCTCAGGCCATGACGATTGCGTTTAAGCATGAGATTCCTTCATTATTCCTAATTTTTTATTTTATTTCCGGTTGTATTTTAAATAAGAATGCCATGTCTAAGCGCTTTTGACTAAGACAAGTGTTACTTTTCAAAAGGCTTGGATAGGTTTTATATACAAATACGAACTGGAAATCAAAAAGATAAATATTAGAAATATTGAAAATTAATTTTCCAAAAATAATCAAGTAGGAACTTTCTTTGTTTTTTAATAAAAGTGCCTAAGTTAAAAATTGCTACTCAAATAAATCAAATTAATATATATATATATATATGTGTGTGTGTGTGTGTGTGTGTGTTATAATAATGTTTTTGAAACATGGTAATTCCTGTGTAGCGATGAGACCGTATTTTTAAATTAGTAAATTTATTATCTATCTATCTATCTATCTATACAGTGATTTTCTAAGCCCGGCTTAGATGTGGCACAAGGCCGAAAGTATGGGGCACCCAGTGATGATCGAACTCACTACTCAGTCGTAATTGATCTAGCAAGACAAGCTTTCAAACCATTACACCCGTGTGTGTATATATATATATATATATATATATATATATATATATATATATATATATATATATATATATATATATATATATATATATAAAAAAAAGAAAGAGCTAGGAACATGAACGTCTGTCGAAAATAATCGTACAGCATACACGTCCAAAACCCAAAGAAAAAAACCCCGATATGAGTAATCAACCAACTTAATGTGCTCAATACAAAAGTAGAGCAGACCTAGTCAAACCTAGAGAGCCAGACAAACCTACCAAGGTTTCACCTAAGCGGATTGTCAGGGAATATATATATATATATATATATATATATGTGAATGTTCTTTTCCGTGTATATGTTTACACCTTGGCGTGTGCCAACTCCCATAAAGAAATCAGCTGCTTTTTACGTATTCCCTAAAATAAGCCGTCCTATACTTTAACCTCCCTCGCTGTTTATGCAACACCACCCACAGCAGCCCCGTCAGTTTGGGAACGCCGGCGGGGAACTCCTTTTATCTCACTATTCGCTGCTAACCATTTTTACTGTTTTTAATATCAGTCTTCACCATATTTCTAATTTTTTCCTCCTCAGCCCGACCCATTTACTTTTCGTTCTTGCACTTTTCTATTTTCTATCGTTCTATTCCTATCTATCTATCTATCTATCTATCTATCTATCTGAATGAGTCGCTGAATAGGGTTGTTTTATGAAACTTGGTCGCTTACATGGATATGTACATTAGATAACGTTTGACCTTAGTCTTGAACAGGT